TCTGAGGTCCGCAATCTTTTTCTTCCATTCCTCCTCCTGTGCTTGGAGCTCCGGTTCATCTTCTCCTTCTGGTTCCCCGGGCTCTTCGTCCACCTCCTCTAGGAACTTCTCAGCCTCTTCCTCGTCAGGGATTGGAGCATCTACAGGAACTTCCCGAATCTTTGGAAAGAGGTAGGTTGCCGCGAGAACGAACTTGTATCTCCCTCCGCGAACTTCGTCTCTTCCCTTTTCAGCGAACGGTCCGGCGATATCCAAACTCATAACATAGGCATCCCTGTGCACCACGCGGCGTGCTGGCCGCCCCGTGCCTGAAGCTGACAAGCACACTGAGCAGTCTCTTCTGTAAGGCCAATGTCCTCGTTCCACATGGGCCTTCCACTCTTCCAACTCCTTCTTGGTCATTGCCTTGCGCAGAGCCGGACCTCCACTTCTCTCCCATTCATGGATCGCGTCCGCCAATGTAATTCTGAAACCATGTGGCCAAACGGTCTGGTCACCTTCTGCACTTTCTGAACTAACAAAGGCTCGCGAATCTTTGAGACCATGTATTCCCAAACCCATGTTCGTGAGGCAACACGTAGGCCTTCTCACCATGTGTCCAAGGGCCCCTTGCTCAAACTGCACCTTGTCCAACTCCATGTGGCTTGCAAACTTCTGAACAAGCTCCGTACGCCATACCGATACACATGTGCTCTTCTGATTTCCCTCTGGCAGGTACTCCCTTGGATCTTCCGGGTACTCCATACAAAAGCCCACCTTGTGTCCAGGAGCATCTCGATCCTCATTGGCAACCTCCGCACATAGCCACAACCACAACATCTTGTACAGCATCATGTTCTCATTGTGGACCTTAGAGGACTCTTCGGCAGTCAATCCTTCCCTGAGTCCCCACGGCTCATGCACCGACCTCAAAGGCCTAAGCTCCGCATGGTTGCCACTCTTGTACCTCATAGGCGAAAAGGTTCCCGCCGGTGGCCCTCCAAAGACATGCTTGATCCTCCCTTCTCGGGCGGCCCACACCAACACACCGTAGATCTTCTCATCGTTGAGGTTCCACCCCTTCTGAAGGTCCACTTCAAGCAGTCCGGGAAGATCTCGTAGAGGATCACTTCGCGCACTTTTTCCCGAGAACAGATGAACTATCCACTCCCTAGATTGCCATAGCTGTCGCCTTCTTGCTCTGTTGAGCGGGAACTGCTTCATCCACACCCAGGCCTGGTCTGCGTTATCCGGGGACTTCGGTAGGATCTTGAGTTGCCCATTCATAGGCGCATGGTGCATGAACGGTGCCGCCAAGACCGCCCTTGTTGCATCGTCCACAGTGCCAGAAGCCACGTAGTCCCGCACCATGTCCTTCCAGCTCCTCTCCTTGTAGTCCCTCGCTGCGCTGACTGATGCCTTGAGTTGGGCCAACGACTCCATTGTCTCGTCGATCTTCGCCTGCTCCAACTCCGCGATCAACCTCAAGGCGTCACACTGCATTATCTCTGGACACGTAGACCTGGTATAGACCTTGATCTCCTTCTTTGTGGGATGTCTCAGCCTACATCCTCTACGATCCCATGCGAACTCATATCCCAGCGATTTCACCAAAGTACCCAAAGGTACAATGGGCTGTGCGTCTTTGCCTCCCAGGATGGTGCCCGTCTTGGTCTGGTCCATCTTGACCCTGTTCTCCCCCGCCAAGGTGACATTGACGCTTCCAACACCGTTCACTGAGTCATTCGACACCCGCGGCCTCAGTGGGTGCGTAGCTCCTGAGTCCAGAAGCCCCATCTTGCAAAGCTTGGTCAGCTCCTCATTGTTCTTCAAGAGCTCCCTCAGCTGTGGCGAATCCTCCATCTCTCGATCGGAACCACCACTCTCCACGCGCAAGGTCCTCATCGTAGGTGACCCGCTCTTTTGCTCCATGAAGGCCTTCATCAACCTTTGAGCGTCCTCAATGAGCTGCTCCACTGGTACACCTTGTACCGGCTGCTCCGTTGCTTCACCCCCTGGTGTAGTTGTAGTAGGCGCCGTAGTCGATGAGTCCTCCGTAGCATTGCTGGTATCCAGGTTTGCGGTCCTCGCGCCCTTGGGGTTGGTTCGTCGCCCTCCTGTTCCCCCAGTTGAGGACTGAGGTGAGTCGCCCGTGGACACCGCCTTCTGTTGAGCCTTAGTAGGGCATGCATTGGCCATGTGACCCTTTCCACCACACTCATAGCATCTGTCTCTCCCTTCTGACTTGCTCAACTTTGGGTGCTCGAAACGACACATCTTTCCTCTCCGGCATCCTTCATCTGAACTGAAAAACCTGCACGGCTTTGCGGATCCCTTCGGACTGGTACTCGGCATCGGCGTAGTTCCAGGCGGGGCCTCCACTGCTCGCATCCTTGGCTGCTGTTGTGTCCCAGCATTGTCTTCCTTTGGTTTCCCCCGTTTGTAGCCCAGCTGTTCAAACTCTGCCAGGTACGCCCGGTGTATTGCCATGACGCTCGTCTCAGTGGGTGAGAAGTCGACGCGAAGGTGGTACCTCATGAGGTTCATCCGGAACGTAATGTCCCCATGCTCTGCCATCGGGCGCTTAACCAGCCCTTCTAAAGACTTGAGGAGTATTGAAGGATCCGGAGTCGCCAGTCCTAGGTCCTTCGCCCTCTGGTAGAACCTGGCCCATTGACGCAGCCCCGTAACAGCCTCATGAGCATTCCCAGCTGGATCGGGAAACTCAACTCTCCTCAGCAACATCGACTTCTCCGTGGCACTTCCAGGGCGGTACAACACCATCAACCGCGCCAAGATGTCCAACGTAGACCGCGACCTCGATGCCACCAAGTCCTTCTTTATCTCCTCCGGCACGGCATTCAAGAGGGCTCCCGCTGCTCGTCGGTCGACCCTTGCCCATTTTGGGTCCGCTGCCTCAGTGCCGGGCGAGGGTTTCAGGGCCAGTCTTCCAAACTGATCCGCCTCTTGATACTTCTTGTAGTAGTCCATCGCGTCTTCGAGTATATGCTTCCACCACTCCGCCGAAGTTGCACTCAGATCTCCCATGACATTCTCGGCACAGTAGAGCCAATCCCCAAAGTCCACCGCGCTGGTCTCAGTCACCTCCGGCAGCTTGGGAATGTCAGCAGCAGCTTTCGTCACCTCCTCCGGTTTTGCGCTTTTAATGACCTTCTCAAGTCCCTCAAGCAACCTGGCCATTGGGTCCGCAGGAGCTCCGCTTCCTCCTCCTCCGACCGAGGTAGAGGCTCCTGCATGCATGGGTGGTCCCCCCGAAGTAGCATCTCCTGGTTGATGAGCCGTTGTCATAGAAGATCCTGCTTGAAAGAGTGGTGCCGTCGTGGTAGAAGCTCCTGCTTGAACGAG